AGTAAAGTCAGGGCCATTCACGAGGCACCCACTCCCTCTAACAAAACTGAATTACAGGCCTTTTTAGGGCTCCTAAATTTCTATGCATCCTTCCTACCCCACAAAGCCTCTGTAGCTGAGCCCCTACATAGGCTCCTAGACAAGGAGGTCTCCTGGCACTGGGGACATAAAGAAGCCAACGCTTTCCAGGCAGTGAAGTCGCTGTTAACTTCAAATGCAGTGTTAGTTCAATTTAACAAGGACTTGCCCCTAGTACTCGCCGCTGATGCCTCATCTTTTGGGATAGGAGCAGTTTTAAGCCACAGACTTTCAAATGGATCTGAGGCACCCATTGCCTATTTTTCAAGAACATTCTCTGCTGCTGAGAGAAATTACAGCCAGATCGATAAGGAGGCTTTGGCAGCTGTAGCTGCTGTAAAAAAGTTCCATGAGTTTCTCTATGGCCATTTTTTTGAACTGGTAACTGACCACAAACCTTTGTTAGGACTGTTAGCTGGTGACAAACAAACCCCACAGGTACTTTCCCCGAGAATGACCAGGTGGACACTTTTTTTGGCCACTTATTCATACACCTTGATCCATCGTCCTGGAATAAACCTGAGCCACGCAGATGCCCTCAGCAGGTGCCCCCTGCCTACACCAGTCAAGGACCCAGCTCCCATCCACACAATCTTCGAATGCACGGGACTGGACCTCCCACTTTCAGCCGGGGATGTTGCTGCGCACTCAAAAAAAGATCCATTGATTTCCCAGGTCCTAGACTGGGTGGGAAGGGGGTGGCCTGATATACAATTTGCCCCTGATTTAATCCCCTTTAGGATCCGCAAGCAGGAGTTGTCTGCAATACAGGGCTGTCTGTTATGGGGGACAAGGGTGGTCATTCCTGCCTCCTTGCAAGAACCAGTTCTAAAGGCACTGCACGAGGGTCATCCGGGCATGGTAAGGATGAAGGCTTTGGCCCGCAGCTACGTTTGGTGGCCAGGTCTAGATGCCCAAATTGCCAGCTGGGTCAACGCATGCCAGGCCTGTCAGGCGACAAGGGCAGCTCCACCCATAGCTCCACCCACCGGATGGGAAGATGCAGGGGCACCCTGGGCCAGGCTACATATTGACCTAGCTGGCCCCATGCTGGGGAAGACATTCTTGGTGGTAGTAGACTCGTTTTCCAAATGGATTGAAGTAGCCATGCTGTCTTCCACCACAACTCAAGCCATCACTAGGGTTTTGACCAGACTGTTTGCTACTCATGGACTGCCAGACACCTTGGTGTCAGATAACGGGCCTCAATTCAGCTCTAATGAATTTGCCATCTTCACTGCCGACCTGGGCATCAGACACGCCCTTACAGCCCCCTTTCACCCCGCCAGTAATGGGATGGCAGAGAGGGCTGTTAGGTCGGCCAAGGAAGTTCTGGCCAAACTGAGGCAGGCAGACTGGCACTCCAAGCTGTCCACTTACCTACTCACGCAACATGCCACGCCATGCCCCACAACCAACAAGTCACCTGCTGAACTTTTGATGGGCAGGCGACTCCGAACCACCCTGGACAGGTTGCACCCCCACTACTCCCCCAGCACACCCCTGGCATCTGACAGCCATGCCAGGGGCTTTGCCCTGCAAGACCTGGTTTATGCCAGGAACTATGCAGGGCACCCGTTATGGCTGCCAGGGCGGATAGTTTCTATTACAGGGCCCAGGTCTTACAGAGTCCTCCTGGAAGATGGGAGAACCTGGAGGAGGCATATCGACCAGCTCAGGAGACGCTGGACCTCGCCTGCCGCCGAAAGCCTGGACAACTCACCGCCGAGCTACCCGGTCTACTCGCCGCCTGCCGCAGCCGTCCCGCAGAACTACCCGGTCTACCAGAGGCCCGACTTCCCAGCCAACCGACCACTGCAGGAAAACTCACCAGAGCAGCCTCCAGAGAGCAGGTCCGGATCGGCCGTCGACCCTCCGCAGACGCCTGGCACCGCCGGAGAAAACAGAGACTGTGTTGCAGCCCCCAAGCCTCCAGAGCCGCGGAGGACAAGCCGCGAACGAAGGCCGCCATTGTGGCTACAGGACTACGCATGCGCGCAACCAGGGGGAAGGAGTGTTGTGTATTAAGAACCTGCCTGCAGTTCTCCTTCTGGTCCGCCATCTGAGCGGGAGCGCCGATCGCTCCCATTGGCTGATGCCGTTTGACAGCCGGCTATAAAAGGGAGCTGTCAAACGGCATCAGCTGTCGCCGCCAGCTGGCTGTCAGATTGCCTCTGAAGCCGCGGCGACCCTTTATTCAATGAATAAAGTATGTTAGCCTAGCCTGGCTCAGTCTCCCTTCTGTAACCGCCGGCTACAACAATATGGATTTCAGAAACATATCTTGATTGTTAGTTAGGGGTAAAAAATAATCTTGTGTGTTGGCAAGCAGTAATAATTTTACTTAGTATGTGCTTAAAACGAAGCATAATAATAGTAAGTATAATAAACTTAATAAATTCCTCATTCCAGCCTAATCCTAGCCTAAATCTATATCAATTATTGTCAAGGAAAATTCTTCCAGTATTACTAAAGTCATTAATTTGAATTGGTGTTCAACAGGTCCTCAGCTTCCTTCACCCATCCACTTTCCTGAAAGATTCAAGAATGGATTGAAGTTTCTGTTGGAGTCACGTTAGCATATTTTCCCATTCTCTTTTTAACTGCTTTCTACATTTTGAAAGTTAGAAATGCAATTGTCGTCTGATCTTCATCATGGGTTTTTTTGTAACACAAATATATGTTTGTAGGGCTATAAAAACAGTCTTCCTTCTTCAGGTATTAATTACCCACCCACCCATCCACCACCATATCCATCAGGGCCATTTCAGAGTCAGAACCTAGGAAATCCATGGCCAATTTTGGAAGCACATACATATAAACTGCCAAAGTCTCTTAAAAGTTTACACCAGGCCAGTGGTGGGATTCAAATATTGTTGCCACTGGTTCGGTGGGTTTGGCTTGGTGGGCGCACTTTGCGCGCGTGCACACACTTTGAGTTCACATGTGTGCCAAATGCACACTTTGCACAGATGCAGAGGTGTTTGCGCAGGCGCAGAGGCGTTCTAACTCCCTCCTGCAAGCCTGCACAATCCCGGTCACTTCAGCAGCTGCCGCGTGGCACTATTCTGTGCTGCGCAAAGCAGCTGCGCTTCAAATTCAGTGGATAAAAGTAAGTATAAGAGCCCGGGTGGGTGGGTGGTTGGGCCCAACAGCAGAGTGGCGGAGAGAACTGGATCAGTCTCCGCTGCTTATCACTCCTCCTCTGCCAGAACTGGGCAGAACCGGTCGAATACCACCACTGCACCAGGCCCTACTTAAGTTGCTGCAAAAGAGGGAACACAACCATGTCTGAGAAGCACATCAGAAATATTTTGTATAGTAAAATGTATTCCCAAGTTATGGACAAGGGAGATTTATCTTTAAAGAAAAACATATTTCCACTCTTTTTACATTTTTTCCCACATAAAAAAGAAAAAGCATTTATCAGGAGAAAACTGACATGATTAATTGCATCCTTAAGATAATAATGAAAATACATTAGTTCAGGAAGTTAGCATAATGCATTCAGCTAATTTTATTTGAAGCTAAGTTTCTCTATTTATCATGTAAAATTCTCATTTACTGAATAGGAATCTTTAAGAATATGACCACATTCTTTTTCTTAATACGAAGGTGAACATAATTGACAGAAGCTTCCTTGTAATTATGAACCATTCTACAAATTGTTGGTAAATTACTGTTAGGTAACCAAAGCATCAAATGCTTCTGAGACAGCTGAGCAGTTTCCCATTATTGAATTTACTTTAATAAATGCAAGTTAAAAATGCCTTTGTCTTGCAGATCTAATCATCCTAATGCTCTATTTATTTCATTAGCCAAGCCTTTGTGTAGGTGTACAAATGTGCTTCAATGAACCACATTTATGCTGCTTGATTTGATTAAAATAGCAGCAGTTCCAGGAGTATACCATATTTGTGTACTCTTGTGGATCAGATGGAGAGACAAATTGCAAAAGAAAAAAAAGCTTTGGAGAGTGTGCCACCACTTTTGTGTATGCAGGAAACAAAACTATCATAAATTAACCTCATTATAAAAGTAAATATTTTATAAAGTAAATCTTGGGGTGCACAGAGAAGCATAGAGCTGTGAAGCTGGTTAGTCCTATGAAAGTCTTCCCCTTGCCTTTTAATTAATTTTTGACAATGAATTTTAATCATCCTTGCCTCTTTTTATATACTGTTTTAAGTTTTAATATTTTGTTTGTACACCACCCAGAGTACAAATTTGAAGCAGTTCTTATTTAAAATTGGTGGTAATATCTCTTTTTAAAAAAGATGTCTGCATAATGTAGCCATTACCCTTAATCAACTGCTAAGTCACATTTTAGATTTTATAAAAATAATATACATTTGTCTAGAAATGTGAATAGCAATACATATAGAAAATATTTCTTACATACCTTGGGTTCCGAATATGTTACAAAAGGCTTCTACTGGAACTTAACCATCAATTTATTGTTTATTATTTTTTTTAGAAAATTTAGGATAATATACATTGTATATATATCATTGGAGAAATTTAGGATTACAGTTGTATACAAACTTGCTATAGGAAAATTCTACTAAAAGTAGGATTAAATTATAAATAAATAGTGCTAAACAGATAACATAAGTTTATTATATGTGAAGAGTTCAATTTTCCCCAATACTTTTCTAATACTTCTTCAAGATAAGAAAAATAAGGGGAATCAATTAAGAATAGTTAACACCTAACAACTAAGTTGGAACATACCAATATGACTCAGCCTGGATTTAGAAAGATTTCTGCATTAAAACTCAGTATCACTTAATACAATTCTTATTGGAGTAGTGGAATTTGATTGATTAGTTTTAAAAACTGGTAATATTTTGGAGTCAGGACACCTGGATCCCAGCAGTATTGTCAATGTTTTTCATTCAAGTAAATGAACTTCCATTTACCTTCTTTGAAGTCAGCATTCTTCTTCCTCACTAGTACGCTGAAGTTTTCTGCTGGATTGACACTTCCAACCTACAAAATACTTCAGTAAGAGTCGTGTCCTCAGCCCCAGCTTTCATCGCCTTCTTCCCAATTTTAATCAAATACAAAGCTTAACTTTGATTTTTCTCATTTCCAGCTAAACCAAATAGGTCTTTAGATACTCATAAAGTGCAATGTCTTGGTCAAAATAGGATTTGAAAGGAAGAGCTCTGTAAGATGAACCTACAATATGATGCCCTCACCTGAAATTGTCATATTGTTTAAAAGATTTCAGCAAGAAAGGTTTATGTTGCTTTCATATGCAACTTTTCCCAAATTGCAAATTAATTATTCATTCTTACTTAAGCTTATTTACAAGTCAAACTAATCAGCCAAATGGATACAAAATAGCTGCCCAGGGCATCTAATGTTAGAAGAGCAAACATCCATGTGGCTTTGTAGGAATATTTTAAACTTAGAAATTCCAAAATGTGAACTATAACGGGCAAAGAAAAGACTAAGCCACAGATAGCTCCTATAGGAATTCAGACGTCAGAAGGAATAATGTATTTCACTGAATACATAGAATCGATACAGAAACCAAAAATTAGTTTCCACCTATTACATGTAAGGGCTAATCCCAAACTAGGCTACTTAAAATATTCTTAAAAGGGAAACAATTGCTTTGTTTTTTTTAACACTGTAAAGGGGGAGGGGTCCTTGATGCTCTCTGAGCTTGCTTGTTTTCTTGAAGATGTTTCATTACCCAAACTAGGTAACATCATATGTGCCAGTAAAGTGTGCTATTTGCTGTCAATTTTATATGGCTTGCCTGTCAGTGTTGGTGGGGTTGGTCTTAGGGATCCTTTGGTTGGGCTGTTTGTTGTTGGCTCCCTTAGCAGTTTCTTGATTGGGGTATTGCTTACTTGATCGTTGGTTTGATGTTAACGTTGGAGTTAATCTATGTTGATTTGGGTGCAGCTTGCTGGTGGAGAGGTGCTGGAGTCTTTTTTCTCTACAGCAAATAGTAAAGGATCCCTAAGACCACCCCCACCAACGTTGACAGGCAAGCCACTAGACTGGAGTATAAAACTGACAGCAAACAGCACTCATTACCGGCACTGATGACGTTACCTAGTTTGGGTAATGAAATGTCTGCAAGAAAACAAGCAAGCCCAGAGAACATCAAGGATCCCTCATGTCAACCCTGAGATACAAATATTCTCATTTATTCGTTTAATATTGTAGAGAGTGAAACAGTGATCTTGAGTCAATTAGACTTACTCACTGAAAGCAGGCAATGACAAACCTTGCCAAGAAAACCAGGCCCAAAGCTGATGAAGAAGCAGCAGCAGCAGCAGCAGAAGCAGAGGAAGAACAGGAGGAGGAGATGGAGGAGGAGGAGGAGGAGGAGGAGGAGAAGAAAGAGGAGGAGGAGGAGGAGAAGAAGAGCAGCCAATGCCAATCAAGCCCAGAATTTTGTGTTATACAAGGGGCAAACAGATACATAAGGAAAATTTGCAAACATGTTTCATCATTTCTTCAAGTATTTAAGGCTGTCTGTGATGGAAAATCATCAATACTTATGACCATTAACATGTATGTTAAGATCCATGCATGTAATTGGGTCTTCAGAGACAACATGCACCTCTTTGCATTTCCTTATACTGAACAGCATTTGCCACAATCCCAACCCTACACTGTACATCTTTCTGCTGAGGAAGCATACAACTAATTGCTCTAAATCCATAGACGGAACTATTTTGTGTTCTGGTAAATGTGCCATTTAAATGTTTTTTAAAGATAACATATACTTAAAGAGAGATCATGGTTTCGAAGAATAGGATGTAGTTTGCATGCTTTGTTAATCACTAAATCTATTGCATTTGAAATCAAAAGTGTGTTTACAAGGCATATTATGAGGCAACCATTCATAGGCTCTTGACTTTACCCAGTTGAGGGCTAATAATCTACAGCACTCTTGCAATCATCACGTTGGATAACTGTATGGGAAAAAATGACCAAAGAGATCATTGGGTATGGCCTAAGAAATAAGTCTGACAATCATCCAGTTCTTGGTACTTGCTTGCCTCATCAAGAAAATACACCTTTAGCACAGTAGCCAATCTAACCTCTTCTACCACAGAATCTTTGCCAAGAATACTTACTGTAATCACATTGCCTTCAGAGAGGCTTGCAATTCTGAAACTGGCTTCACCATCTTCTGTTTTTGCCTTTTTAGCATTGGGGCCATCTTCATGACTGGAACAAGAGAAGGTCATCAATCTGAATAAATTCTTCTCAAGATAAATTATCTAGCAATCACATCTACTGTGAGAATAGTTTTAGAAGATACATATTAGGCATTCAAGTGTCCTTCAATCTCCTTCCAAATTGTACTTTGTTTCAGAGCTTATTCAGAAAGATAAGGAATCAAATCTGATGCCTGAATGATGAGATGTCTACCCGAACTACGACACTAGCTACAGAATGCTTTTTTTGAATAACTGAAAATCAAATATTATTGTCTCTGTGTTTTACTAACATAGCCTCCTCTTGACATGTCTGTATATGTGAATACTTTTATAGTACTTTGCAATCACATCTGATTCTTTTTTTAATGTTTAAATTGACATTAGCGATAATGGGAATTTTATATTTAAGGGGGAAAATCTATTTACCCTTCTAATGTAATTTGCTAGTTCCCATCTTCAAACTGATAGCTACTAAGTACTTCTGTACACAGAAACCTGGAATGTCTTCTAAACCATCTTTCAGATTAGCATACCTAAGAGCTTATTAAACATCAGTTTGCAGTTGTCAGTACTTATGAGAAAAACTCCCAATTAAATATGCTCTTGTGCTGGATAACCTTCAAGAACATCCAAATCTGCTTCCTAAAAACCAGCCTTAGGGTTTAGCAAGATGCAATTTTAATGTCATTATCTGTACTTTCTCCCCATTAGATGGAAGAAACGAACATTATGTACACATATCATTATGACAAAAGGCCTGCTTGTGGCTTGGTCCCATACTTTTTTCCTAGTGCAGGATATGCAGATGGAAGATATCCTTTTCAAAATTCCATGTCTCCAAAGTGTGTAACTGCGCTAAACCCAGGGGTGGGATTCTACTGGTTCTGTCCAGCTCTGTAGAACCGGTGGCTCTGAAGAACAGCATAGAACCGGTTCTATGTCTGCTGCTGTTTTGGCCCACCCGCCCGCCTGGGCCCTTACCTGTCCTTTATTTCCTGCTTTTTCAACCTCAGCTGCTTTGCGCAGCACAGCTGCGGTTGAAAAAGCAGGAAAAAAGTGCTTTTTCAAATGCTGCGCACCCACGCGCAGTGCTGCTCAGCTGTCCAGGCAGCAAGCTGATGAAGTTTTACACACGCGCACAGATTTATACCAAACGTAAATCAACGAACCGGTAGTTACACCGGTCGGATCCCACCCCTGGCTAAACCCCTGAAGTACTGTGTAGAAAATTACACTATAAACTCATTAAAAAGAGCAAGTCCAATTTAGCTCTGAGGAAAATTTCAATGACTGCCCCTTACATATTAGCATTTGGATCTTTTTGGAACAGAGAGGGATAAAGAGGCTTGACCATTGCTGGAGATCTATAAGCTTCCAGACATACTTCAGAGAAATAAAATGCATATTTGAAGGAAAAATAAAAGATTTGCCATCCCAAAACATTCAGGGTTCTTTTTTGCATCTGCTTTATTTTCCAGACCAGCTTAGACCTAGAATTCTTGGTGGTCATCTCTCATCCAAGTATTGACTACCTATGTCCAGCCCTGTTCAGCCATATACTACCGCTTGCTATTGTTCCACTAAAGAACTCTAGCTGACATTAAGTCTTTAAGGATGCAAAAGACAGAAGCTAGCTTTACATACAACTAGAACATTAAGAGCCTCTTCCTATACCATGTTATTGAATAAACCCTTGTGGCCAGCCCAGCCATCCAAGAGGCAATGAGGCCATGTCCCCTATAGAAAGAAGTACCAGAGAAGATGAAAGATGACAAACAGCTAAAGAACGATTTTTGCAGTGCTGCTAACTCACTTGTCTTTGAAGATGAACTGAGCTGTCTTCTGCTCTTTTATTTTGGCTCCGTCTTTCAAGGGAAAAAGAGCTTTTACTTTCTGAAGGGGAATCTGGCATTTTTCTGTCACCTCCTGAGGAGCCTTCAACATGTCTAAGAGATGGTTTTCAATGGGGGGTAGAGGTGCATCAGGATGAAAAGCTTTATGTTGCAGGCACTGATGAAAAATCACAAGGGAATAAGCAATGTCAAATCAGTAAATCAATGGATCTACCTATGAATCAATCTATGACTCAATCCATCAATGAAAGGTATATTTTGCTCTTTTTTTGTTATGACGGGAGGCACTTTTTATGCATACCGAGTAAGATCGCTGTAGAAGACAAATATGAACTTGTCCTTGATTACATTCTGAAAGTAGATGATGCTGTATGATACGGTTTGTGATGAAAGGTTTAAAATATTGCAAACATTCATGATCACTATTGTCAGCATGTCAACAATCAAACTCTCATTGATGAGTCCACATTAGAGTACCCTACATTTTGTAGAGACCTGATAAATGGATAAAGCTATGGAACAACTTCCTACTGAATGTAGAACTTTCCCATTCTTTGTCGAAGTTGAAGAGGAAGCTTAAGGAATTTATATTTTACCTAATTTTTTGTGGAACTAATATTGAAACACTGAACTGAAACTAGAATACAATAATAAAAAATATGGCTGTATCAGAATTTAGGTCTATCATATATTTCCTGATAAGGCAAAAAATAGATGATTAAAGTCTCTCACATTTAGATTCATTTGTGAAGCCCCCAACTTCTCTATAGTAACTCCCAGGAGCGATCCAGTTCTTGCAATACAGAAATGTTGAATTCTTCCATGTATCATTCATATTTTCCTGTGAGACTAGAATAAGTAATGAAGAGATATGCATAGGCTGGTCCCATGATGGCGAACCTATGGCATGCATGCCACAGGTGGCACACAGAGCCATTTGTGTGAGCACGTGAGTCCCAGCCACTTACCTGCATTGCGCATGCGTGTGCCTCCCAGCTGATTTTTGGCCCGTTTGAGGTCATTTTCGCCCTCCTGGAGGCTAAAGGGAAGCCTCTGCAGCCTCAGGAGGCTGAAAGACAAGCCTTCCAGAAATACTGAAAGTGCCCGTTTTCAGCCTCCGCAGGACCTCTGGAGCCTGGGGGAGGCCGTTTTTGCCCTCCTGGACGCTCGAGGGAAGACTCTGCAGCCCCAGGAGGCTGAAAAACGAGCCTTCCAGAAATACTGGAAGTGCCAAAACGGGCCCGTTTTCAGCCTCCCGAGGGTGAAAATGGCTTCAAACAGGCCGAAAATCAGCTGGGAGGCACGCGCATGCACAGTACAGGTAAGGGGGCGGGGTGGGGATGTTGTGTATGCATGCGCAGGGTGGGCAGGGCACATTGCACTGTGGGTGCCGGCACGTGCACATGTGCACTATTGCGCACACACATGCTTTCAGCACACCACAACAAAAAGGTTCGCCATCACTGGGCTAGTCTATTTGGGACTTGCTAGATTAAGCATTGCAGGAGGAAATGCTACATAGCTTATGTGAATTGATGTAATATGTGTTTCCTGATGCACAAAAATACACAAGAGCATTCTGTCCTCAATACACATTGCTACTTTGCCAACCACAAAGAATATGGGGTAATCTGAAGGTATGCTAATAATAATAATTTATTAAACCTGGATGCCACCCAACCCTCAACGACTCACAACAATCAAAGAATTAACTATAAAATCAATAAAACATAACAGCACCTTTTACAGCAATAATGAACGTACTTCATTCTTGCTTAAAGAAGCTTGTTTCAAGCTATTATAGCTTATATTGTTATGAACAGGCATATTAATCTAAACTGGATAAGAACCAATACCAATTAAATGGTGGGTCCCTCTCTCTCTTTACTGTGGATTATAGATTAACCTGGGTATTTGACATATACAAAGGTGATCAGAAGGTGTTGATGGGCTTGATGGTTGAAGATATCACTTATGTTCTTATAAATTTTAATTCCTTTGCTGAGACTACCATTATTGTGGTTGTGTTTATTATTTACTCCTATTTTAAACAGAAAGCTTAACCTTTTCCATTGACTCCACTGCATGTATTCCTATTATTAATAATTAAATGATCTGGATGAATCTTAATCTTGATCCGTGTGTATGTGTGTATTATACTCTAGTGAGTTGTGAAAACCCACCAACTATAGTCTACTTAATGTATTGCAGAGTGTTGTGCAACCCAATAAATTTTCTCTTTCAGTAAACATAAATTAATACTCAGTTTAATATATCATGCTATTATATGATTCATACATGATGCTGATTCCATCCTCACAGCAGATGGGGGGGGGGGATCCCAGGAAGAAATCCCCCAAGTTCAGTTTTGTACTAACATACTTTATTTCCTTCCCTTTATTCAAAGAGTTGTCTAACCATCTTTCCAGCCACTAAATTCAAATCATTCTTTTGGTCTATTGGCCAATTGGGTTTTATTTTTATTTTTTACTGATTGCATCAGGTTTTTTCAGCATCATGAGCAGCTCACAAATTCAGCTGCTCATCGTGGAGCCCAGGAAATGAGATAACTGTGGGATTCTGTATTGTTTCTGTTAAGCGAGGTGGGTCCAGGGCATGTAAGGAAGGCAATAAGGTGGAGAATTCACACATCCATGGTTGGACTGCTGGACAGCTGCTGGTCCCAATAAAGTTTTGCCAAGTTACACTGGGTGGGGTGGGGAAGCAATCAATTCACACAAGATGAACCCAACTGACCACATAATCCATCTGGCTGAGAAGAATGAGGGGAAGTTTTAGTATCTTACCTGGTACAATCTTTGAAACAGAGGATTTGGGAATTTGTTGGGTTTAAATATATCCACAACGGTCCCTTCAGTATCATCTTCACGAACTAAAGACATAGAATCAATCAGGGAGTCAACTGCAGACAGCTGTTCCTCTGGATTATCAAATATAGATAGGAAAACAGTTAATACGATGCAACAGATTTTTCCTGCCATTTTATATATTTATTTACTCAATGTAAAAATAGCAATAGCACTTAGACTTATATACCGCTTCACAATGCTTTACAGCCCTCTCTAAGCGGTTTTACAGAGTCAGCCTATTGCCCCCAACAATCAGAGTCCTCATTTTGCCCACCTTAGAAGGATGGAAGGCTGAGTCAACCTTGAGTCTGGTGAGATTCAATCTGCCAAATTGCAGGCAGCTGGCAGTCAGCAGAAGTAGCCTGCAGTACTGCACTCTAACCACTGCACCACTGTGGCTCAATAAACACATTGTATCTCTGCTCAATTTTAACATTTCATAGCATAGTAGTTCATAGCATAGACACTACAGAATTGGAAACCACAAAGATACAAGATAGCAAAACACTAAAAATGCAAAGAGCATGCAGCAACATTGTTAGTATTTAAAGGCTTGCCTAAAGAGTGGTACTACACTTTGACTCAACTTTAAAGGCGGTGTTCTCCAATCTCAACCCCTCCAGATGTGCTAAGTGCAAGATTTTTCAGCAATGGCCAAGCTAGAAGGGGAAATCTGGGAGATTAACTCCACATACCTAGAGGGGAACCCTGGTTTTAGGAAATCTATCATGAAAGATCGGGTATTTTTTTTCTTTTTTTGGGTGTGGTAGGGAGAAAACTTTTCTGGAATGCAAGGAGCACTCCCCTCTTCCTAATGCTGCCTCCCCCTCTTCTGAATCCTAAAAGATTCAGACTATGTGTCATTCATAAACATTGGTATACGAATTGAAAATTGGTTTTAAATTTTTATCCCCATAACAAAAATTCTATTGAGTTTGATGGACTGAGAATGAGTGTATTATAACTGATCCAATTTGGACCATTGAGTGGATACTGGAAAATCTGCCTCCCAAGTTCTAGTACAACCCTATTACAGGTAATAAATAGGCAGTATCAAACTACAAAAGAGAAGCACAGAACTATATACAATGAATATAATTAATAGGCAATTTCTGAATATTCTTGACATCATCCCTGTTTTGCTTATAAAGCTAAATTCTCTTAGGATTCTTTGCACAAATATTAAAAGATGTCACATATTCTGCTTAGTTTCATCCTATTTTTCTGCCATGTGTGTCTCACTATAGGTTGTTTTTAAATACAACTAAAAGGATTATTTCAATGTTAAGCATCTTCAGAAACTTATCTTCATTCTTCTGATCACACAGCGTTCTCATTTCTTCCATTAGGAAAAAGCCTGTCTTTCATCTGACAGCTTTTATTTCATGAATATATATTTTAACACTACAGTATTTTACTTTAGGGGTGTCATTTACATAAACTACATTTAGAATAAGGAACAATCTTTTTTTCGCCTTTAAAAAAAGACAGTTTAGAGCTCATAATCACTCTCACACTGCTAGTTGTAACAGAACAACCCTCTAACTGCATTTCTACATAGAGCACATCACCAACTATTTAAATGGTTTCAATCTTTTAAATGATAGAGAGAACCCAGTTATAAAAGGAATGCTGGATTGATGTTTCAATGCATAGTGCTGTTAATAAGAAACATACACACACCCCAAACTCAATCTTAATGTGACAGGAAATGTAGCAAATTTAGGAAGGAATTTAGGAAGAGGGAGGGCAGACCAGCAATTTGCAGGAAAAAATGTACCTTGGAACATGCACTGTATCACAAGCCCATCATTTGTTGTATGAATACTGTTGAACAGTATATTCTGTGCTCCCCCCTTGCTAGATTTGATGGCTCCATTTTATAGCAACTAAAGAATATATTGGAGTCGAATAATAGTGAACTACCCTGATTATCCTTAGGCACTTAAGATCAGTGCCAAAGACTGGGGAGTATGGAAAGCTTAAAACTAAACAAAAATGTCTGGAAAGTAATCTAATGTATATTGAGAAACCGTTATTTCTAATAAAATAAAGGTTCTACACATTATAGACATTATCCTCTGTACTTTGGGGTAGGCGGGGTTAATATGGATGAAAGTTACTTCTGAGTAGATAAGAACAGGATTGTGCTGTTCAACACGTGATTCAAAATGCAAGCTCACCTGTTGGGGCGCACTTTTTATTATTTTTTAAGGAGGAAAACATGTAGTTCCTCAAATCTTCCATATAGGGTAGCTGCACATAAGCCAAACACTAGAACAGAATGAAAGAATATGGAAAGAAAAGGCAGTTGGAATAAAAGCATGTTGTGGATTTTAAAAAACAACAACAAATAATAGCATTTAAATTACTATTTAATTAAAACATTCAATATAGTACAGGAAGGTAAGCTGGGCCAGTTACTCTCTCTCAGCCCAACCTATGTCACAGGGTTGATATTGTGAGGAAAATAGGAGGAAGGAGCATTAGGTATGTTTGTCATCTTGCGTTATTTATAAAAATACACAGGAATCAAAATATCACCATCATTATCCTGGTCTATGCTGTATTTCTCTGAAGATTATAACTGGTATCAACTATCTCAATACAAAAACACTTTTCTTCTTGTATTCAATCCTTCATTTTAAATCTTAAATCTTAAATCATTTACTTTCATATCTGAGACTATGCATCAAAAAAAACTTGACATTAATGACCAATTTGAATAATTTTACTCTAGATGAACCAAGCCTTAGATATTTATACTGACAGAAGCAGTGTTCCTTAGCTTTTCTAGAGTGTAATAGATAGATCCTAGAGATTTTTTTTTTACTTTAGCATGAATTGGGGCACTACCCTTTAGGATGACAACTGATAGAGAGACTAACCTTCCACACAAACTCTGTATTTTTCTGCACTCAGAATTGATTCTCCATTATATGCGCTATTATAATACCCATTGCTGTATATAGCCAATAGCCATTGAAACTCATACCCTCAATTAACACTAATTTAACTGCTCCTGTGATTATGAGATTATGCCTTTCTTTCTATGTGTTCAAATCTCAGGAATCTTTTAAGAAGGTTACAAAATTCTTATTGACGGTGTTGGCTTTTAGAAACCACCTGGTACATCATTCTCTTTATTAATTGTTGAGGTGCTTTGCCTATTTTTTTTATTCATTATGTTTGCTAAACTTTAACTTTTATGACTGGTCTTGAGCTATAAATAAAGAAATAAAGTAAAATAAAATAAAATTACAATGTAATGTACTTCCGATTTATTCTAACCAACTCTTAGTACGTCCCCCATTGTTAAATGTAAATGCTGCAGAGATGACACAGCAGTACAAATATTTTTGCCGGACTTACCCATTGTACAGTATTATAATAGGATACAAAAATGGCTTTTTGTATGAATCATAATGGTTTACTGACTGAGTCATAAAGGCCTGACTCATACATAATATCAAGCCGTTAGGAGTGGGTTCACATGTTGTTCTAATGAAAAATCAACCCTAAAATGAACTATATTATTCTTTAATGATGAATATTATGTGTAATATAACCTCATAGTGATGCAGAATTTATTTCAGTGACACAGCAACTGCATAAAGACTTTTTAAAAACTCCTCTGAAAATTGATCCAGATTCAAAATGAAAAGCCTTAACTATTAGACCAAAATGAGATCCAAAATATTTTGAAAATATTAAACTGAAATTCTCCATTTTTTCTGCGATTTATCCTATTTAGTGTTCTTTTTCTCTCCTCTAACAATAGGTGATTGAATAGAATGGAGGAAAACATTATTGCTCTGAATTCTATTCCCACGCTCTTCAGTCATCAACATTACCTCATATTCATTCTTAATTAGTGGAAAGGCTGCTCCCACTTGTGGATGTGATCTCCGATCATAAACATACCGTACTATAGCCACCATGTCCAACTCACTTAAAGCATTAATTAGAGCAGAAAGTGCAACTGCAGCAGCCTGTCAAAAAAAAAAAAAAAACCCAGAGTTATTTCTAATGTCGTTAAAACTTAGCAATTGGAATATTAACAAAGAAACAAAGAAATTAAGACACATTATCCCCTAGAACTAAATTCTTAACTTCTGACTTGAAGCTCAGCTTTGCCTCTTCAAAAGCTTAGCTAACCATTATATGGCACAGTTAGGTCACAAAATCAAGATCTCAGTTAAGATGCTATCTTTCAAATGAAGGGCAGATTATATAGTGCTAAGCACACATATACAAATATGGTCATTATCTTCCCAAAGTTGCTTTGGCTGAAAAGATAACACAACAAAAGAGAGTCATACAAAAACCCCACAGTAAAGGATAATTTCAGTCCCATGTGGCCATCACTATTCACTATTTATAGCATTTCTCAAAAAGACTAACCTTATAGGAACTCTTTTAGACAGAACTATTCAGTATGGATACTAAAAATTTAACGGTATCTCTTTTCTAGATTACATATTTATCCTCTCTCTCTCCAACGTATCCAATAAATACCCAATATACTCTCCAACATACCTAATCAATAAAAATACTTTTTTGGTGTTGTTTGCTCTTGGATTAAAGCTGGGTTGTTTTTCAACTCCATGCTGTTCTCATTATTTCTATAACTGAGCTTTCTTTCATTTTGCAAAACTAACTGGAAAAAATGTCAACTCAGTTTTTGTTTAGTAAGGTGAACGTTTAAAGATACACAAATAATTTATCCAGCACTAAGCTTGATTTATCTCACCTCATCATCCTTTGCTGCAAAGACTTTCAGGACTTGGTTCCCCATATATCGGTACCTCTGAACCTAGAATGTTTCCAGAAAATTAGCTATGATACTGAGCTCCTTAAGGAAACAAGTGCAAGTGTTAAAAAAGGCCAATCCAGCATTTGAAAGATTAAATGGAACAGTGCATTATATTCCTATACTAGCTCGATACCCGTGCTTCACTACAAAACTATGTGATCGGGCTTAGTTTTTGGGGAGGAAAATAAGGGGAAAAATTGTGCCTCTGCCTACCAGCATCCATTGGTATTCATCTGGCTAGCGTCCTGTCAGTGTGTGAGAGAGTTAAGGTCTGTTTGGAAACTGAAACAGTATTTGCTGTTTGCATCTCCCTAAAGCAGCCAGCAAACAGTTAAGCAGTTGTGATTGGGCCATGCAAAATAACAATTAGTGATATCAGAGTGAGAATGGATTAGGCAAAATGTACACTCATATACACTCCAAACCAAAGGTGACATGGTACATTGCACAATCACAGGAATTGATATGTTCCTGTCAGTATTCAGTGGCCGGGGCAATAGTTGCAGTACTTGTGTGCAAGCTTTCAGAAATCATAAAAACAGTGAACACAACACAAAACAATACAACAAAAGACAGCCACATGAATATCCTGTTGGCAAAAACTGCAGAAAGCTAGTGTATGAGCTCAACAGTGAGAGAACCAGCAATGTGTACAGATGAAACTTGGATCTCACTTCACATGTGAATCAATCTTCTGGGGCCTGCACTCAAGAGAATGTTTAAGCCCTGTATAAACAACAGATCTAGTAATTTTTCAAAACAGCATTAAAACTGTGTTTATAAGGAACACACATAAAAGTACTGTGGGAAATATCAATCAAGCATTTGCACGAGTAAATATATAGCAATAGCAATAGCACTTGGACGTAGATACCACTTCACAGTGCTTTACATCCCTCTCTAAGCAGTTTACAGAGTCAGCATCTTTCCCTCAGCAATCTGGGTCTGCATTTTACCGACCTTGGAAGGATGAAAGGCTGAGTCAAATACCTGTGGAAATAGGGAACTGGTCTCTCCTGTAGCCTAAGCCAAGATAGGGCAAGTGAGGAACAATCATGGGTATGTTTTGCTTTGTGTGATCCTTTTACAAAAACTTTGGCTGTCTTCTACAAATGCTATACAACACTAATATCAAGCAGATCTTTTTTTGGTTTCTGATTTCCTTCTTCTTCCTTTATTAGTCTAAATAAATTCTTTTACCACTATTTCTATTATGGAGACAGATGAGGCATTTAAACTATGAGCATTGACAAACTGATTCAGTAAAGCCTGTGGGCTTCTCAGATTTCATCATGCAGTTCTAAGTTTTTTATTACAACATCCACAGAGTTCTAACTGGGACAAACAGGAGAAGGAGGGGGGGAGAAAGAGGAGGAGGACTTAATCATACATTATAAACATGGAAGGAGAACATATCACATCATTATAATACAAACCAATTTGAAAGCACTATTTCTGTCAGAAATTAGTAGTCATATAATCTGCAACTTATCTGTAGCAACCTGTCTGGCCTGTTTAAACGTGCAATTGGATAACACCTGAATTTTGGACACACCAGAGAAGATCGGCAGAATCCCAAAACAGCAAAGCATTTCCCATCCGTCTTATATTTCATCTGTTCCTCATCCACTTTAGAGAAAGGAATGATGTCACTCCCATACCTGAATCCTACAAAATTAAAGAATTATTTCCAATGTTAGTGGGTGTTCTTCTAAGAAAACCTAAAATAGGCAATGAGAGTGGACAATATGATGAGTTAGCCTTCCAGGAAAAGCCCTTTGTGATGAAACTGGACCAAATTTCTGCTAAAACAAAGATAGGGGAACAAAATAGCAGGAAAATATTCTTAGTGGCAAGTATCTAAACCCAATTTCTTTTCTATTATTATTATTTCTATTATTTCACAATTTCTTTTATATAGACCCACAGGCCTCAATCAAAATTCTTTTCACTGAAGTGCAGGTTTGACACCAAGTTATTGCAACTTAAAATATTTAGGTAACTAGGAAGAAGACTGTCTTATACAAATGATCTGCTACAAAATGGTTTTGGTGGTTGATGATTTTGAAAAGTTTGATAAGCTGTCTATATGTTTAATTATGGACATGTACCCCAAAGCCATTTTTAATTCTCTCCTTCCTGGAATGCAAATCACATTATTCTGTCACAAATCATATATCTGCTCGCTTTGACTTACTATATTTCATCCTAATGTTTATGCCACAGGGTACAAACAAAATGGAAAAATGAGTTTCATTTTGAGCTCAAAACAATCACATTTCAAAGTTCTGCCAAAGATTGGTCACAGTTCAACAGAAACAAAACCTGGAACATCTGTGTTTGGGTCAGATAAAACTTGTAGGGATCTCACAGTGATTTTATAGACTAAGTAGGGCAACACTGATGTGCTTTTTCCCCTCTCTCCTCGAAGCAGTTCCTCAGGTTTGATATCCTGCCGCCATCCCTGACTTTTCAGAACTTGGCTTTCCTTCCTCCTTGACTCCTCTCAGCTACTACCATCAACCTTGGTTTTCCCACCCCCACCCCTTATCCTCCCAAACTATGGTACATTTTGATCCATATCCAGAACAAAGCATCTCTGTTTTGTTCCATATCCAGATTACACTTTTTGGTTCAGGCACGAAACACATGTAATGAGGTATTTCATGCTGAGAACAATTTACGATTTTCACACTCTTATTCTGCCATATTCACTAAGTGCACTAATTTTTTATTCTTTTGCAAAATTAGAATCAGTGGTGAAACAAATCAGCAGAAGATCCAGAAAAGTGCCCAGAGGACTTTACAGAACAAAAGGCGGTAAGATACACCAGTGTCCCATGAAAAAAATGAAGAATCTACTGAGGAAATATGCAGGGTTTTTTTTCTTCTAAATTTTCTTTTATTATTTAGCTTTGAAAAACAGCAGGGCTGCAATTTTATTTGCGTCGCATAGTTTCACAGAAATTGATACCTGCCACCTAAAGCCCTTAGAGATCCAAGACATTTTTGTGGAATATCTAAAACACTTTAGGTCTGAATGTCTAAGATGTCTCAAAAGAACACTCTGAAGAAACTAGAGATGCAGAGAGAACAAGAGCAAACAATTTCATATGGAGAGGCAAGAAAAGGGCTCACGTATGTTGCTTTACTGGGTCTGAATGTTTTTCGGCATTCAATTTTTGTGTTTAAAGAAAACAAGCAAAAAGTGTGATAAATAGTGAAATCCAATTAGTTTTTTCTACTGATGTTAGCACAAATGGCAGAGGATGAGTCCTCTCTGGTGTGTAGATCACATATATCTTACAAAGTTTTTCTGGGAGTGTTCTAATCTCCAGTGATTTGGCAAATACAAAAGAGGCGAGGAGGAAACTGTTTCCTTTTGCATGTGTGAAATCCACTTGTCCAACATTACATTTTACTCAAGGCAACTTGCAAACAAGAGCACCAGATCAGAAAAGTCAGAGGGTACCAATAATCCAAACTGCTTCTGTTTTCAGTACATTTGACCATACTAACTGCTGAAACCTGTTAACGCTTAAACCAAAAGGCTCCTATGAGAAAATTAACCAACAAACTCCTTTTGAAATCTAATGATAAATCATCAAGTGAGGTGAGTCAGTACCCAAAATAAGACCTGGTGCTTTTTTGGTGACCCAAAAAAATATAAGACAGCGTCTAATTTTTGGGGAAACACGGGTAAGTGGAGAACCATCTGATTGCTACAGACTTATTTCCCATTCTGTCAGTAAGCAAGCCACCAAGGTTGTTAAGCAAGACATCCTGTGACCACAATTTATGATTTTATTTTTGTGCTCTACATCAACTCTGCTTACCGGAAGCCAATTGTGAACAACACAAATGGCGAACAGATGACCACAGGATGTTGCAATGGTTTTAAATGTGCAGCAGCTGTGAAGGACCCCAAATGGTGACCACATGACTGTGGGACATTGCAATGGTCATAATGTGAGGACTGGTTGTAAAGCTGGGTTTTTTAAAATCATCGTAAGGTTGAATGGTCATTAAAGAAGGAAGTCAGTAAACAAGGACTACCTCTATGTATAATTACTATCTATCCATGTCAGTATGAAGAACCTGCTCTTAGCTAACTGCAGGATAACTCTGGAAATCTGGGATTTATAGCCAGGCCTAGAAGAGAAATCTGACAAAATGTCAGACAGACTATAGCTGTGATGGCGAACCTATGACACGTGTTCCGGAAGTGGCATGCAGAGCCATTTCTGCCAGCATGCAAGCCGTTGCTCGGAACTGATCCACTGTGCATGCGTGCGCGCCTCTTGCCAGCCAATTGTTGGGTATCTGTCATGCATGCGCGGGGGGTGGGACACACGCAGAATATGCGTGCACACGTGGGGATTTCCGCAGAGGTGTGCGGTGCACACGGAAGGGTCATGCATGCATGCCTAGGGGGCGGGTGGTGTCATACTCTCATTGCATTATGAGCGCAGGCACGCATACACTTTTGGCACGTGACGACGAAAAGGTTAGCCATCACTGGACTATAGTTTCCACAATAAAGCATTTTCATTCTGTCTGAACTGAACAAAATAATGGATTATAAAAAGACTCACAGCCTTTCCTGGAAAACACTGAACTCATACCTTGAATAACATCTTCTTTTGGAACTTCTGTTTCGTCATCATCATTCAAACAATAAACTGTTTCTTTCTGTATATCTTCTTTTTTATGAGTCTTGGCATCGACGACTGTCCAGGATTTTTTCACTGTTTCCTCTGTGAACTTGGAACCGCATTGAGAGAAAGAAAATGATGGTGTTTAATTTTAATTTATGAATGAAAAACAAACCTCAACTATTAGATTTTATTGCCTAGAATTACAGGTGACAGAATAATGGAATGATCTTATTTAACAGTATAACTTTCATTGATTACAAGAGATCAGAGCAAGTCTATAAAACTGTCTTTATTATACTGCCTAAATATAATATATGTATATTTTTATAAATGTGAAAAGTTTCCCAAATGAATTAAGGAAAACCGTTAATTCCTAATAGTTTTTCAACTCCAAGGCATCTGATTTCTCCAAATTAACATGACATTTAGAAACCAGACTATGAGTTTTACTCTGATTTATGAAAAAAGCCTGCATTCTAGCTGTCTCAGCTATTCCATTTAGTACTTGAAAATGCATTTAGCTCAGATCAGTTATTCTGGCAATGTCTGAATGTGAAACTAATTAGTCCTCGATATGGATATTAGACCCAGTTTACTTGGCATTTCTGTTGGACTGTGTCCAGCTATGCTAATGCTGGATTAAAGTGAGTTCTAGTCACTTACTGTTTTGTAGGCCACAATCCTGATAGACAAGTTAGAACCAATTGTAAGCTGGCAGGGCCATGGCATAGGTCTCCGTTCAACTTTCTTAAACATTGAAAGACGCTCCAGACTCTCCCTTAATAAAGAAACATGGAGGAAATGAGGCCCAGTTAAAAAACAAGAACAATTTCACAATGAGCAATTCTGTTTGCCCATTTTCACCAAACTATTTGTTGGACGCTTATTAGCTGCCGCAGTCCCAAAATCACACCTAAATTATGGTCTAAATATTATCTTTTCAGATTGTCTCATACAGAGGGATAAAGCAATCACTTCTCCATCTGCTCACTAAATCTCTGGGTCAGAATTGACATATTTTTCATGGATAGAAATCCGACCAAATCCTCATATGGCAGCAAATGTAATGTCTCTTCCATAGAAATTATTCACACATTCAGATTCCATTTATCAAGCACTATGTTTGTTACAGTACTACACTTGTGACATCACGTCAGGATCCTTCTACATCGCGGATGTCAAACTTGAGACATCACGTTGTCGTCATGTGATGTATCGTGACTTTTTTCCCCTTCACTAAACTGGGGGTAAGCCTGGCCAGCATGTGATGCATCCGGCCTACAGGCTGCATGTTTGACAACCCTGCTGTATATTCTTGCACTTTGTGTCTTGATTAATACAGAATTTCAAGTAGCATCTGCCTCATGAACACAAAGGGTTTTCCACACTTCCTGCTTGTAAAATTATTCAACTTTTCTGGCTTCACATCTAAAGCCACATTTTCTGAATTCCCACAGTGCACACCATGCCTAACAGTCCTTCTGCTGCACTTCAGGTTGTTGTACTCCATCTGGTAAATATACACTCTGGTGGGACATTTCCCTCTTCACCAATGCTATTAGTTGTCTTCCAGAGCCACTTTGCCAGGGGCTGCTGAATGTCAGCTCCCTCTTCTGAAGAAACCTTCCCAGAATAGAAATGGCCTCTTTTCCTCACCTTTGGGCTCATGAAATGGTGGGGTTTAAAAAATTTTTTTTTTTTTTTACCAATTTCACATAAATGTAATGAGGTAGTGCTCTGCTTGATGTCCTGTAGAGAAATATCCCATGTAAATGCAACAAGGCAGTGCCATATTATCTACAGAAACACCCTTCAGTGTAGTTCATGGCATACTCAGGAGCCGCAATGCTCGCTTGTGACACCCTAGGGCAGTGTTTCTCAACCATGGCAGCTTAACAATGTGTGGAATTCAACTCCCAGAATTCTCCAGGCAGGATGTAGGGGAAGGGGTATTGAAGGGGTAGTTAAGGATTGGGGTGAAATTAATAAGAATGCTACTAGCTTTCCCTTCTACAGGATTTGGGGAGCTGCTAGCTTTCCCGTTGACAGGATTTGGGGAGAGGGTTTCCTTTACCGATAGATTGTGAAACACTGGGGTGCTTCTTGCTAGTTTTGATTTTAGCTTAAGTGATAGCAAGTACAGTGAAATGGTAGTGTTTCTTCCCCATCTACTGCTGTTATGAAGCATTCCTCAAGACCAAGCAACTCCTGCGTGGAACAAGGGAGTGGACTAATGACCTTTACTGTCCCTTCCAAGCCTATGGTTCTGTGACAGCTGTGTGTTCACTCATGCGAAGGGAAACCATACGTTGTCCTAGCAGAGGTTGGCAGAATAAAGATGCTTGGGAATCCACCAGTCAAGGAGCAGAGTAACTGTTTTCCAGACAAAACACCTGGCCCATCATCAATGCCAAAGTGATAAACTCTGAACAGAATTTTTAAGGTGTCACTTTCAGTCAGGATTAGCATAGGGGAAAAGCAGCGGAAGGCTGTCATGCAGAATTATCCCAAAAGGTAAAATCTCTTTTGTGTTGAATTTGTCTCCTAATGATTCAAAAGTCACCTTTATTTGCTTTTCTTGGCGAGAGCAAGCAAGTAGTTTGCCCTTGTCTCTTTTTGCTATTTTTGTCATGTTCTTTGGCTTTGATTTCCCAACATGTTCTAATGATATGTCCTAGCACTTCCACAATCAAATACTAATTGGGCCATAATAGGTTTTGCATACAAGCTCAGACATGGCTGGCCAGCTACTGCTTCAATATTAGCCTAACAACTTTATAACAAGAGTGGGCTTTTGTATGAGTGCTCACCGCTCTTTGCATCCATAAATCTGGAAACTCAACTGGGTTAAAGTAGATAAGTGATAAGGTGCAAGAGGTGAAGCATAGCAGGAAAGGCAGAAGGAAACTCTTGGTATTCTTTTCTACATGAGTAACATAGTTTAGAAGGAGAAGAAAAACTTTCATTGATGCTACTGAAGCCTTGAGTAAGGAAAACATGCCCCAAAGTAGTAGAGTTCTTTTCACAAGAACCAGAGGATTTTTATTTTACCTGAAAGTATAAATATCCTCCAAGCCTTCTTCTTGGTCTAATGAAAACATGAGTTTTTTCACCATCTGGAGCCCTTCCTTTTGCTGTTCACTTAGACCCTTTGCTGGAAAAGAGTTTTTGTTTCTGCTATCATGCGTACCGGCAGATGCATTCTCACCTCTGTCTTCGTCATTCATTGGAAACGGCAAACTAAAAAAATAATTGAAAGCGATTTCAATTTACATCCCTGATTCCTCAGGAAACAAGGGGAATAGCTTTTCTATTTAAAAAAAAGAATCTAAAAGGAAAATTGAAAACTGACTCTTTGAATGCATCTTTTCATATAACTTAAAAATAAAAATGTCATTGTCAAGTCATAGCAAACAATTGCTACAGATAGGTATTGCTGCAGTATTAGTCATGGGAGCATGACTGTGCAATTTCTTGGTAGTTTGCAAATTGTAAAGAATTTGTTAAAAGTGTACATATTTTCCTCTATGGGGAATTTACTACAGTTATCAGAAATTCTATTTTGTTGTCATTTGTACATTAATGCCAGCTACAAATCTATATATTAGAGTAAATCCTCTTTATAACAACTGGTGAGACAGAAAAGGTCCCATCATGATCGGTTCAGGATAATGAAAAAGGCCTTAAGAGAGAGAAGGTAATGTATTTGCAACTGCTTTTAAGAAGACGGGCAGGTGCTTCTTTATCACTTTTCCTTTCCTTTCCTTTCTGTTCTCTATTTTTTCTTTGCGCTTTAATTTATTCCTTTTCTTTCCTCATTTTTCTCTTTCAAAATGTGTATTGTTTTTATTCTTTTAAAAATTATATGCATAAAAACAAGATAATGGAAAAAGGATGCAATTAATATTGGACTCCCCAATACAGCCATTTATCCCTGGAGTGGACTTGTGACTATCTAGAAATACATTCACATAACAGAAGCTTCAGGAAGGATGTGATGAATGAAGCATTTAACCTTCCCTTCTAAACTGTGTCCCAAAGACAATCACTTTCCCCATGTCGAAGGTTAAGAGGCAAAAAGAAAGAGATGCAACTTATACAGAGTCATTTCTGATTTTCTAGAAAAAACACAGCTACTGAATGAAAGATGAAGCTTTAGTTTCCCTAACTCTTAAATTAAATATATATCTAAGAAGACGGGCTATTCCTGATTTGTCAGAAATGGTAATCTGGCCCGTTGCATCTCACTGACTTATAGAAAATAAAACATAGATCAGAATGAGTTCCATTTTCTTTTTTTTAGGCTACAATTCTATTCGTGCTTATTGAAAACTGAGTTCCACAGTGTGTCTTTTCTGAGCAGACTATATAATTCTGTATATTTAATACAACTGCCTATTATTTTCAGCTACCTGGTGTCTTTTGATGGATCAATATAATCTAAACATTATTATTAAGTAAACGCAATTCTCACCATTATTTGAACTAAAACAACCTGTTTCACATATCTGTTTTGTGTGTGTATGAGTCACCACTTTTTCTCCCCTAATACTTAAAAATCTAGGGACAGAAACAATTTCCCGCAACTGTCTATTTCCGGGCCTATATTAATAGCCAGAGCTGCCTGTATTCTGTACAAGCAGGGAAAACAGTACAAAAATGTTGTACTAGATGAGACATTTAATTTCCTGAATGTCAGCTATATTTTAAAACTTTTTTAAAAAATGATAATCGTTTGAAAAAGATAATTTGACCTGTTTGTTCTGAAAACTAACCGTGCACTTCAAGGGCCCAGGAAATAGACAGTTGGTTGACCTGTTATTCTAAGCACATGATTCATTTTTCTATAGCTTTCTGAATAAACTACAACTCATATAATATGCTAAGCCATAAGCAGGCAAGTCACATTTGGCTTAGCCTGATGAATAAACCCAGCCACAGTTTATGTTCCCCATAACTCTTTCCCTCTTTGTAAATCTACTAAAATCAGAGTAAGGGTATGCAGAATAATCAATGTATGGAAATTCATTTAATTTACATATATAATTTGCCAAGATCAGCTTTCCTGGATTCAAGATTTGTTTGTTTTTATTGTAATTGGGACTGGCTATGGAAAGCTGCAGTAGCTATTGCACAAGAGAGAAAAAGTACACAAAGCGTGTTTTCTTGAATGCTTTCTAATCCTTTCACCAGGAGTGGCTATAAGAAGTATCTGCACTGCCTCCTGCGTAACTAACTCTGCGCCTGTATATGTTTCTACGCTCCCCTTCTGTTGCATCTGTGTGACTTAAGTGTGTATGGGCGCACCTGTAAAGACAGAGTAGACTGTGTGTGTTCTACAATTGGTCACCTGACAAGCAAGAAGATGAGGATGTAGAATAGAACAATCAGCAGCCTTCTGAGCCACTGCCTGTCAGCCTGTCTCCTAAAGATGCATTGGGGGAGATTTTTTTTTCCGCAACCCCCGGCTGAATCCAGCCCATTTTCAAACTCAGTCTTTCTTTCGCCACTTTCCCTGCCACTATTAAATTTGATCCTGCAGTTGAATTTTCAGAGTAGTCTGGTAGTGAATAGATCCACAGCAGTGGCGGGATTCAAATTTTTTTTTTACTACCGGTTCTGTGGGTGTGGCTTGGTGGCCGTGGCAGGGGAAGGATACTGCAAAATCTCCAGTCAGAGGAGGCATTTGCCGGTTCTCCGAACTACTCAAAATTTCCGCTACTGGTTCTCCAGAACTGGTCAGAATCTGTTGAAAACCACCTCTGATCCACAGATATAGTTCTGATTTCTGGACATAATCTCTTTTTAGGAGTGAATTGGAAAGAATGCACAGGTAGTCCTTCACTTACGACTATAATTGACCCCACAATTTGTGTTGCTAAGCAAGACATTTATTAAGTGAATTTTACCCCATTTTACGACCTTTCTTGCCACAGTTATTAAGTGAATCACTACAGTTGATAAGTTAGTGACGCTGTTCAGTGGTGGGATTCAATTTTTTTTTACTACCTGTTCTGTGGGCAGGGTTTGGTGGGCGTGGCAGGGGAAGCATACTGTAAAATCTCCAGTCAGAGGTGGGATTTGCCGGTTCTCCGGACTACTCAAAATTTCTGCTACCAGTTCTCCAGAACTGGTCAGAACCTGCTGAATACCACCTATGATGCTGTTGTTAAGTGACTCTGGCTTCCCCATTGACATTGTCAGAAGGTTGCGAAAAGTGATCACATGACCCTGGGACACTGCAACCATTATAAATAGGCACCAGTTGCCAAGCATCCGAATTTTGATCATGTGACCATGGGGATGCTGCAATAGTCATAAGTGTGAAAATCTGTCATAAGTTACTTATTTCAGTGCCGTTCTAACTTCATAGAGTCACTAAACGAACTGTTGTAAGTCTAGGACTACTTGCAATAAAAACATTAAGAATGCTTAAGTTAAGAGTAGGGATACATTCTTTTCTGGTTATAATTTGTCACAGTTCTTTCTTCACTCACAAGAATTGAAGGGAGATGCCGGTTTTCTTCAAGTTAGTTATGATAATATCCAGTTGATCTTCACTGAAGGGACTCCCAAGATCAGTAAAAACCTCAATGTGCCGTTTGTCATATTTTTTTCCTCTAAAAAGTTAGAAAAACATTTCAATTACCGTACATGACTATCCACATGGAATACTGTACTTCCTAACAGAAAGTAGACTTATACTTCTAATGATGTCAGTCTATGTGCTTCAGGAATTAAAAAGTCAATATAAAATATGTTTAATTAATACCATATTCTCTGATTGTTGTTAATCATTGTCTGGAAGGGTAGAATAGAAAATCACCAAAATATTAAATATCTATTGAAAACAACAGAAGTACATGTTCTTACAGCCTGCAACATGAACTTCTATTTATTGTAAATCAGGATAGCTAAACTGAGGTTAATAAGCACTCCTTATGCTAACAACTTCCAAAAACATTTGGAATTCACTTCCCAGAATTCGCATCCAAATGTTAGCACGTTGTTGCTGAGTCCTTGGGCAATACATTAATCTGATAGGCCGCTTTGTAAGATAAGTACTTCTCATGTTCAACTCACATTTTGAAAAAATTGAAGTTTATTATCTAAGCCATTTCTGTTGAGGTAATTTCCCGTTAGGAGAATGAGCGCATACAGGGAGACGTATTTGAGAGTAGTGTTTGAATAATACACATACAGCACACAGATACACTGTACAATAAATGTAGGTTTTTACTTCCAGAAACGTTAAGCAAAGTCCAAAATAAGCAGTCCAAAAGTCATTCACAGGTAAATCAGTCAGTTTTTCAATCCAGGGATAATCCAAATATCAAATTCCAGTGTCAAAAACAGTTCAGTATCAGACTTACATCAAATCTAGTAATATCAGTCAATTAGGAAAAATGGAGCAATGGCAATACTTTCCAACAGAAGGAAACAGAGATACACTCACACTCTCTTCTGAGACTCAGACTAAGACAATCCAGGTTTCTGGCTCCATCTTATGGCTGTTTGAAAAACCACACCCAATTGCAGTTTTTGCAATCTCTTAAAAAGACATAGTACTAAAATGTTTATCCTGGTTTATATATTTCTAACCCAAATACCTGTTGGGTGACTTATATTCCTAACAATTTCCAGGGATTTTCTTGGTATAGACACAAATCTATGAACAATGATTATGAGGAATCACTTATTGTGAGGAATCTCTCATTGTCCCCATTGACCAAGTGGACTTATTTTTAACCTGAGGGACAACTTCCATAATATACATTATGTATTAGGTTAATTTTCTAAGAAATTATATGTGTTATTGAACGATGCTGATGCATCATCACAAAAAGGGAGATGCTCACAAAGAAAGCAAAATTTCTCGGGCATTTTATGAGGCAACTTAATACATATGTTTAAGTAGCCTAATAAAATGCCTGAGAATTTTTGCTTTCTTTGTGAGCACCTCTCTTTTTGTGATGATGAATTAGCTCTGTTCAATAGCACGTATAATTTCTTAACAAATATAAAATGCTGTATCTGTCTCTACTTCATCACATTTGGTATTCTAACTATAGAAGAATGCTGTTACAGCAGTTTTCAGAATTCTTAAATACAGCCATATACTTACATCGTTTCTTTCTGAAGCAAATCCATGCACACAATCAGCGCATCAAGAACTTCAGTATGTTAAGAAAAGATAATTTTTAAAAATGACACATTTCAAAATATGCTGGCCAGGATTTGTTATGCAACATTTATTGAGGGCAACTTTTCTCAGCTTCACAATCCCCAGCTTTGATGGCTACAGCTTCCAACATTCTTCAGCTAGCACTGACATCGGGAAAAGCAAAACTAGTATCTTTCAAGTAAGCAGAACTGTTAACATGTACATTAAAATAGGCCTTATGGATGGGATGTCTAGGATGGACAGAATATTTAATTCTTCTTCCTGATGTAGCTGTTATTATTTTTCTTTCCATATTATACAGGGGAAAAGTTAATTCAAATATAATTCGGTATCATAACATAGTACAGAAATTTCAGAGTTTCCTCACTGGGCAAAGGAGCTGTGATGCCTGTATTGAATCTCTTCCTCTAGATTTATCTTTTCTCTCTATCAAAGGAAAAAAATCTGATGAGCATGCATTAAAGAAAACCAGGTTTTATGAGACAAACCTCACAAAAAGAGGAGGCTCCATGAGTGTCTAAGAACATGTATAGAATTGTAGACTGAAAATGTTGTAAATTAAAATTCTACCAACAATGCAATAAAACAAGACCATGAAGGCAGGCAAGTATACATGTCCCAGGATAATGTTGCAGGATCCAATCTAGGTTGGTCACTGGGACCAGAAATTTTGTTCTCCAAGCTTTCAGACTCTTATTGGAGCCCATCCTCAGAAAACTTCGCTTTACCAGAATGTGTGCCTTGTGCTATTCTATATGTAGTGTTTTTGTGGGGGGTTTTGTGGCTTTTACTTGTTGATTGGGGTGTTGATGACCAGCTATTAAGTTGTTCTAATGTAGTCTACTGGATCCCCTGCATGTAGGGCAGATGGGGAAGAAGATAACCACCAGATCGCAAGAACATAAGCCAGCGGTCAGACGAAGAGACCCAAACTCATTGGTAGCCTCACATTGCAATGAACAAGGACATACATTCAATTTCGCAGCTACCCAGGTTGTTGGGTCAGAGAAATGATTGAAATTTCACAGCTACTAAGATAGCCAGGGAAATGATTGAAGCCTGGGAAATGAGCCCTTTGTCAGTCAACAAGAGTGCTAATTTACGAGAACTTCCAGTTTGCCAGGTTTCGGTGGCGGCAGGGATTCGCGATCCAGCGCGATCCCTGTTGCGCTAGCCGTCTTGGTGCCTCCGATCCCGACAGGTCTGGAGGATAAGGCTGCCCCGTAGAGGCAGCCGAAGACAGGGGGGATCCGGATAGGGGTTCGGGGGTGTCGTAGACCCCCTCCCCACCCTGCAAAACCCCCTTTTCTCAAGGCAGTGGAGCGGCGGTCAGTAATGGCCGCCACAAAGAAGCCGGCAACTGGATAAGAATGCGCAGGAGGAAGAAGGAGAAAGTTTTGAAAGTTTTGATGTGAAAGTTCTTTGGCTACCGGGACTTTAAGATACATTTAACATCCTGAAAAATCACGATTTTTTGAATGATACGTTGTTTCCAGAAGAGATTCTAAAAGCGGCGAAGGGAAGTGCTGAAAGGGAAAGTTTACTCTCCTTCCCTACGGACCTAGCAAATGGACATTGAAAAACCTGTTTTTCTAAAGAAGGTAAAATTTTAAGCTCTTTGTTACAAGTGGGAAGGGAGAGGACAAAAAAAAAACCTATATCAAGATTTTGTTGGAGGAGATGCCTTGAAGACTTTGAGACTAGAAGTTAACTGCAATAAGGCTTTAAAGTACAGACTGGGTTTTTTTTCCCTTTCTTAACTGATAATACCCCAGGAAGAGAAAGTGTAAAGGGAAGAACTTTCTGCTCTGTTTGGATGCTTGATGACTCTGGGACTTTGGGGAACTGTCTTTTAAGTTTTGAAACATCTTGGTTGTTCTAAGAAGAAGAATGGCTTTATCTATTGATGAACTAAGAAAGGAATATGGAAAAATAAAGAAAGAAAGCAAGGACTCTTTGGGAGATATCTTTCACTTTTTAGAAATGGCGCTTGCTACTTATCAGCAAATACAACAACAAATGGAGGAGGAGGAGGAGGAGGAGGAGGAGGAGGAGGAGGAGGAAGAAGAAGAAGAAGAAGAAGAAGAAGAAGAAGAAGAAGAAGAAGA